AATAATAGGTTTTCATACAGTAGTTTGCCCGGGGATGTAAGCCAGACCTGTAAACCTTCTACATGTATTTGTAGAAATAACGATATTTTTTTTACTTAAATGTTGGTCTAATCAAATGTAAAAACCTTTAAAAACTTGGTCCATACAGTGTGATTTTGCTTATATACAGGGGAAAACAACATCCATAATTTTGCTCCCTGTTCCCTTGTTTTTATTTTAGAAAAAAAAATTTCCCCTAGTTGCTCAAAGGGTTTACTATGGGAAAAGGATCGTTAAAGAGAGCTGACTGTGGATTTAAAAAAATTAAACACAAAACCCAGACCGGGCCCCGTTTGCCACAGTCTGGAGTTCTTGACTTCCCCTTTAACGCGGGTTCTAAACCCAACCCGTTGGATGGTTTATAAAGGATTATGTTTATTTCTTTTCTGTTGGTGGCGCGGGAATTTTTCTTGTTTGTGGTGTAGAGGGAATATTTTTGTTTCTGGGGTAGAGGGAATAATTTTTGTCTGCTGGGGGTAGAGGGAATAAACTTGTCCCCTTTGGGTAAAAAGGGGGAAAATTCTTGTGTTGGCGGAAAGGGGAAATTCTTGGTTTCCCCTTTTGAAAGAGGGAAATTTTGTTGTTGGGGAAAAAGGGTAAATTTTATCCACTGGGTTGTTTTGCAAATTTTTTGTTTCCACTTTTCGCAAATTGTAATCCTTGGGGGAAAGTTTTGATTGGGGGAAAAACTTTGGGGAAAAATCCAAAAAACCTTTTTCTCAAAACCCCTTGGGTTGTTTTGCCATCCTTTTCCCCTTGTTCCGAAATTGCTCTGGGGAATTTAAGGCCCCATTTTTTGTGGGCCGATTAAGCAACTTTTCGAGAAGGGTCCCTCTTTGGGCACTTTTCATTGTTGGGGGTTTTCCCTTTTTTTAAAATTAGTCCCTTTTTCCCCGAAATTTTCTCAATGGCAAGGAGGTCTCCAGAAACCTTTTTTGTGGGTAATGTGATCATTAGGAATCTGCTAATTTATTGGTGCTTTACGGGGGATTTTTTAGGTGGTTAAAAAAACAAAACCCAAAGGGGCCCTTGCCGGAATTTTAGAAGTTGTCTTTTAATTTTTCCCCAAAAACCCGGAATAAAAACTAAATTTTTGTGTTACAATTTTAAAGCCAAAAAAAAATTGGGGAAAAATTAATGGGAAATTTTAAAAATTGGTTGGTATTTTTGTTGTTTTTACCCGTCTTTTTTTCAGGGGAGGTTGTTGAAATTTGTTCGCGCATGAACCCTTGCTTCACGCCTTGAGGGAACCCCCCAAAATCAAGTTGGTTTTGGGGCCCAAGCAAAAAAAGATCAAAAACCTCAGTAAAATCCAGTATTGAGTTCATGTAGCCGTAGGGGTTTAAAAAAGTAGCAAAGCATCATGGTAACAGTGCAGCAAACCCCAATTTAAAATAACATAAATATGACACCGGCAAACCCCTTTATTCCCCTGTAAACCTTCCCCAAATGGTATTTTGTGTTATTGCAAAAATGAGTCCCCCTTCCTCCAAATCTAGTCCCCGGTGCTCACTGGCAGCCGGCAAATTTTTATTTCTCCCAATTTTCCGTCACTACCTAACCACAGCCACCCCCTAACGGCAAAGGTTTTTTACATTTTGGGGGCCTGGGCGAAACCCTTCATCCCCCTGCCCTCCTTCCCCATTGACCTATTGTATATGGGGTCTTGACTTCCGAACCCTTCTTCTGCCCCTTTCCCTTCCATGGCTTGGTCATAGTTCCCCCTTGAGAAAAGTTTTTGCCCCGTGGGCAGGCTTTTTGTCTATAAATGCCGTATATTTTTGACTGTTTAATTTCAAAAAAAGTGGTTAAGACAGTATTGAAAAGACGTTTCGCCCAACGACTTTTTAAAATTCCCTTTTCCAATAAATCCCCCCTGGACAAAACTTCTTCCAATAAGAACCATTTAAATACATCCTGTGTTTAATGACATGCTCTCAGCAAAAAATATTGAAAAAATCAATCCCAGGCGAAAAGAAACAAAAGAGTTTCTAAGCAAAACCCCAGGGGGGGTTTAATGAAAAGCTTAGGGCCCTTTTTGGGTTTCAAAACAACACCATCCCGGGGCTTGGGAAAAATTTCAGAAATGAGTTAGAGATCTCAGCAATTCGTTCAAGAGGGCGCTTGCTAAGCAAGGGATTTCTCAAAGGAAAATTTCTGAGGTCTCTTACTTTTTTCTACAAATTTTTCAAGCTCCGATGTTTTGTTGATTGCAACACGAAAGACCCAGAGGTATTATTCAACTCCCCCGTAGTTATTTCTTTGTATTTGCTTGTTCGCGATTATTGGGAAAGTTTCCCCTATTTTTTGGGAAGGTTATAAAAGCAACCTGGGGGTGGGGGGCCCGGAGCTGTGACTCGTTTCCCCGCAAGCGCCTATAGGTGAGTATTACACCTGGGGAGAAAGAGGGGGTATCAGGTTCAAAAAATGGAAAGGTTTATTCTCTGCATAAGGTGGAGCTTAAAGAGGAGACTCCCTTTAACGAGGTACCTTGATGCTGGTGAAGGGCTCTTGGGTCCCGGGAATTGGGGGGCCATCCCCCGGCGTTCCCCGGATCATCCCCCCTGACCTCGACCTTCCAGCAGTCAAACCCCTATGATAAATGGTAAAAAGGGAAAGGGAAAGTTTTTAACTTTATGTTTGTATTTTTCGAAGAAGGGGCCAGGGGGGTATACAGCGGGGTTAGGACCCCGCGAGTCACACTAGGGGGTTTTTACTGGTTTCACCCCCCAAGGTCGAGATGGGGAAGGGGGGGAGGGGGGGGTTGGGGGGGCGGGGGTGAGGGGCGGGGCCCGGAGGGCGGGTAGGGGTGCGGGAACTAGGGGGAAACACAAAGGGGGCGGCCAGATCTTTCCCGGTGTCGCCATTTAAAACGGCTTCAAAAAACTTTAAAAAACCCCCAGCCTAGTGTTGTAAAACAGCTGGAACCCTCGTTTTTACTCCTTTCACTAGTTGGGGGTCACGACGCTCACAAATCGGGGTTTTCATAAAAACTGCGAAATTTCCCCCTTATAGGGGAGGAAATATTTTCATAAATGACAATCGTAACCGGAAAAGCTCCACGTGCCAAATCTGCTACAATATCCCCCTTTACTGGAAAGGTTTGCAAATAAGTAAGTTTAAATTTTGGGACAGATACCATATATACAGTTACACCCCAATTTTCATAAAATGGTTTAAAATATGTTTTAAATTATCAAGGAAACCCAAAAAAGTCCGACACTGTGACTTATTTCCTTTTTGGGTTTTTTAGGACACCCCTAAAAACCCCCAACCCGCCGGCATTGGTGTTCTTTTAAAAGGACTTTTAATAAAAAGGAAAATTTAATCCACATTCCTCATTATCCTTTCAAAATATGAGGAAATTTATTGGGAAAAAAGCCACTTTCGTTTGACTTTATGGGTTTTTCCTATTAATATTTTACATAATGATGTCCTTTTGTATCAAGATTACATGTGGTGATGTATTTATAAAACCACTAGTTGGGGGGAAACGTCTAAAAATAAAGACAGGCAGTTTTTTTGCCGTGTCCCCGCTTCGTCAAAAATACAAGGACCCTTTTCCCGTTTAAAAACTATTGAAATCTATCTGGTAATTATTAACTAAGTTTTTAAAAAACCTACAATCCCCAGGTTCTACTTGAACCCAAATCTTTTTAGCCCTAAAACTTGAATATAAAGGGACAAAAAAGGAAGCTACTCAAATTTGTGTGTTGAACCCCGTAAAATCATGGCTTGGCTCCCGTTACTTGATGTCTGGCGAATGTAAAATATTTTTTTTATTTAAGTACAGGTACGCATTAAGTACAGTTTTCTTAAATTTTTAAAACGTGTAAAATTCCTAGGAAGGCCCCCCAAAATCTCAAAAAAAAGGGACTTATTTCCACTGGGATCCTTGTAATATCTTATTATTTAAAGCCTAGCTGTAAGATACAGTAGACAAGCTGTAAGATACAGTAGAAAAGCTGTAAGATACACTAGGAAAGCTGTAAGATACATTAGAAAACCTGTAGTATGGAGTAGAAAAGCTGTAAGATACAGTAAAAAAGCTGTAAGATACAGTAGAAAGCTGTAAGATACACTAGAAAAGCTGTAAGATACACTAGAAAAGCTGTAAGATACACTAGAAAAGCTGTAAGATACACTAGAAAAGCTGTAAGATACACTAGAAAGTTATAAGATACAGTAGAACAGATGTAAGATATGGTAGAACGCTGTAAAATACACTTAAAGAGCTATTAGATATAGTAGAAAGCTGGAAGATACAGTAGAAAGCTGGAAGATACAGTAGAAAGCTGGAAGATACAGTAGAAAGCTGGAAGATACAGTAGAAAGCTAATAGATACAGTAGAAAGCTGAGATACTTTACATTCGTTGCCCTGCCAAAATGTCTTTCATGATGGTACCTAGGGAAGCTTCACCACGAGGCAAAAACAATTGTTGCAAGTACTGTGATGCAGAGTAGCAGTTCCTGCCTCCCCCCACTCCCCTTGTTGATGTGGGTGAAGTAGGGGAAGAGAGAGTGGGGAGGGGGAGATGAAGAGAAAATGCTAGTAGGGAGGTAGGGTTACATTCGGGGAGATGGAGACGGGAAGAAGGGAGAGGAGACAGATAGATAGATAGATAGATAGATAAATAGATAGATAGATAGGTAGATAGATAGAGAGAGAGAGAGAGAAAAGGGGGGAAGGAGGAGGGGGAGATGAGGCACATGGAGTAGGGGGGAGCTGGCTGGATGCCACATAGCACCACTTTTAACTAGCTCGTCGATTTTCACCAAACTCGTCCATTCGCAATGTCCACTCGTCCCTTAACTTGCTCGTATCCCAGCCTCCGAGGATAACACTGACGGTGGATCATGCAATTGCAATTATCAAGTGGGTGTTGCTAGTAATGGCGTGTGTACGTGTGTAGAGTGAGGGAGTGTAATGTGTGCGTATGTGTGTGTATATCTGCGCATTCACTCTCCGCCAGCCAGTTGGTTCTCTGGTGCAATGGGGGCCCGTTGATTTGTGCCGTTCCTCCTGCATTTTGCAGTGATATTGCTGCCATATCGTTGCTACCGTTGATGTGGGAAGGTGGCGAGGTGTGCACCAAGCCAAGGCGGCACCCACCAGTGTTTCTCTGGCCATTTTAACCAGGGAAAAAAAGGAAAGTTTTGTGTTGTCCGGTTTAGCAGGATGATCAGTGGTTGGTGTGGGAGGAACCATGTGCTGAGACCCAGTGTGGCTGCATTATCATCTTGCAACATTCTTCACAGTTGCTATGTTGAGTGATAGCACGCCTCGGCACTCATATATAACTTAAATAAGGAGGGAGTGCATGGCAGTGTGCAGTCTTAGCTTCAAGGCGAACGAAAATTTCACGATGCGTGTGCAAATGAATGGAATACTTCGTTAATTTGTATTGCAATCATGGTTATTGTGATTGACACAGCTTGTTCCCTGTGACTTGACACCTCGTACTCTCTCTTGACACTACATATGTTCATATTAATCGCCGATTCTTCAAGAAATAAGACGATATTAACGTTAGTGAAGTAAGTGTGTAGTTCATATCTTTTAGCTCCGGGCCACATTTGAGGAAATTATTGTTATTGTAGCATTCATGGGGGAGCGCTCAACCCACACGGGTCATACAGTGCTGGTGGAGAGAGAGGCAGTCATTTGATCCAAGGAAAAGGCAGGTTCAGCTTCCATGGATGAAGAATCAACATTCGGGCTCCTCCCTTGCAGCGCCAAACTGAGTAAAAAATAAAGGCAAATTTTATACAATGAATAACTTTCGTTTGACGAAAAACATTGTTTTGAAAGTCCAGTTTTTTTATGTTTGACATGTCATCATTTTTTTCATACTTAGTAACGTAAAGTGTAAATAAAAAGCCCTTTGGGTATACTCTTATATAAGTTTCGTTATGTAAGCATTTTTTTACTTATACAGTCTTATGGAGTTATATTTACAAGCGAGTTTAATGCTTATAAATATAATTATGATAATTACTATATTTTAATTATATGTCCAAGCCTAAAGATAAGATTTGTTGGGATTTTTAATCCGTGGTAGGGAGGGTTACCTCCCAGGATAACCCAAGAAAGTGCCATCGAGGACTATTTTTATTTCCATTGTGATCCTTCAATCTTGTCCCCCAGGATGCCACCCCCACTCGTCCACTAATACCCAGGTACCTACTTACTGAACAGAGACAGCAGGTGTAAGGTGACTAACATCCAGGTACCTACTTACTGCTAGGTGAACAGGATAGCAGGTGTAAGGTGACTAACATCCAGGTACCTACTTACTGCTAGGTGAACAGGACAGTAGGTGTAAGGTGACTAACACCAAGGTACCTACGTACTAAGATACATTTCTAAGTAGGAAATGTGTGTGAATATTGGGCCTTCTGGGATGCTTTGATGTTAGTCAAAAGCTCTTGATCCTAGGAGTTGCAGTTACCATTTCTTTTCTTGGATCAAACCTGATCACTAATCATTTCCCAGGCGTTGCACGAGTTTTAGTTGTTATCACTTACTAATGAATATAATGATAATCTTAGGCGCCTTAGAGTACGGGATTACCCACAGTCACGAGTGGTGATATAATTATGTACCCTGATTATTATTTACGTAGCATTTAAGACAGGATTTTAATTGGAATGGGACGCTTAAGCCAGGGTTTTAACCTGGGGGAAGGATTAGACACGTGAACATTTGGGTATCTATTTGTAGACGTTTCGCCATCCAGTGGTTTTATCAGTACAAATTCAGGGACATAAACCATACCACGGGTGGGGTTTGAACCCTCGGTCAGAGAGTCTCAAAACTCCAGACCGTCGTATGGTTTGTTTGCAATCGTGTCATTACGATTTCGTGAGTCAGGGACATAAAGACGAGGCCAGGGTGTTAAGCTGAGGGGGAGCGCTTAAAACAGGATTTTAATCTGGGGAAGCTTAAGCCTGCTATACTCCAGGTATACCTGGCTTAAGCTATACTTCAGGATTTCAGCCTGGGGTAGGAGGGAACTTAAGCCAGGATTTCAACCTGGGGAATCTTAAGCCACGATTTCAACCTTGGGGTAAACTTAAAAAAAATAAGACGCTGAGAAAATAGAAGAAATCGTTTTGAAAAATGTGATTTTCATTGTGTTAAACTTTTTAAACTATTGTCCTTTTGTGGTCACTGGTCAGTATAATACAAAGAAAATTAGCCACTGAAAAAAATTAAGTGTGTGCTTCTTGGGGTGCTTTAGCTTCTCTCTTCCACTGTGGCTGTGCCACTGGTCATTTTTCTTATAAAACTCATCAATATAGTGCAATTGCTCGTAAATGCCATTAAAAAGGAGCACAGAAAATTGAAAAAAACATTACATGAAAGCCTTTCCATGCACCAATCAATTTTGAATATACTTTTTCAGTCGTGTTTACGAGAAATTGCAGTTTATACAGGCGCTTCATACAAGCTGGGTATATTTGTCAAACCTTTTACCCATGACATAGCTTTGATGGGTTTCGAGATTTTTCCTACTGCCGCAGCTCGGCCTTGGGTCAGGCTTGTCTGGTGAACCAGGCTGTTGCTGGTGGTGGTTCTGGCACAGGCTTGTCAGGTGCTAGCCTGGTCATCCAGGTTGTTGCTGCTGGTGGTCCTGGACCAGGCTTGTCTGGTGTTTACCAGGTCAACCTGGCTGTTGCTGCTGGTGACCCACTGGCCCACGTATCCATCACAGCCTGGTTGATTTGACGCTTGGTGGTGAAAGTACTTGTCCAGTTTCCTCTTGAAGACTTGTTCGGTAATATTTCCGACACACACACACACACACACACACATAACTCTATAACCAGTTTTCACGAGACATTGAAGACTTGGATAGTAAATAAATCTACCAGAAACTTGACAAAATAAATCTGTTGTTAGCATTAATCAAACAAAAAACGTGTTATAGCGTAGCCTTGTAATGGGGGATCTATTCACCCACCTGTGGCGTGGTTGTTACTGATAATTAAGCATGATAACAGCTGGTTATACCCTTCAGGTGGTGAAGGGGTCTTTGATACGAGGAGTGTGAGCTACCCTCCCCTTCCCAACTCGAAATGCTGTGCATAATTTCTAACACTTGTATTGTTTAAAAAATGTAACACTTGTATGATTAAAAAAATATACAACGCTTACATGATTTAAAAAAATGTAGCACTTGTATGATTTAAGCAAAATAACACGTATGATTTAAAAAAACGTAAAACGTGTATGATTTTTTAATGAAGTTGTTATTATCATACATGATATTGGCTTCCATTCCCCAGACGCTGTATGACCCCTTACGGGTTTAGCGATTCCCCATGAATATAGTATTAGGGCCAGGCACCATGTTTTATTCAAATCCTCGTGTGAATTTCATTTAAACACAAGACTGCACTAGGAGGGCTGGAAAACTTCATAAATATATGCTCGAAACTAGCAGTAGTTTGATCAAGACTTGCGGATTTTGTTTGGGTGAAACTGAACGTGTAATATTCCATTTTAAAGTGCATTTTGCCCCCCCCCCCTCATGGCTGTAAAGCGCACGAAGTTGAGCGAAAATTAGTGGCATTTTATGTCACTGCTTCCAAGAGTAACCAAAATTCTTGAGCAAAACCTCCAGGAATTAAGACCATTGTAAGAGTGAAAATAAACAAATGACCAGCACATAGGAAAATGAAACTTATGACGTTTCGGTCCGACTTGGGCCATTAACTAGTTAATGGTCCAAGTTAACTAATTAATGGCACAAGTTAACTAGTTAATGGTCCAAGTTAACTAGCTAATGGTTCAAGTTAACTAGTTAATAGTCTAAATTAACTAGCAAATGGTCCAAGTTAACTAGTTAATGGTCCAAGTTAACTAGTTAATGGTCCAAGTTAACTAGTTAATGGTCTAAGTTAACTAGTTAATGATCCAAGTTAACTAGTTAATGGTCTAGGTTAACTAGTTAATGTCCAAGTTAACTAGTTAATGGTCCAAGTTAACTAGTTAATGGTCCAAGTTAACTAGTTAATGGTCCCAGTTAACTAGTTAATGGTTCAGGTTGACTAGTTAATGGTCCAAGTTGACTAGTTAATAGTTCAAGTTAACGACTTGATGGTTCAAGTTGCCTAGTTAATGGTCCAAGTTCACTAGTCAATGGTCCAAGTTGGACCGAAACGTCGTCATAAGCTTCTCATGTTCGGGTTATTTATATATTGTTCCAGTCACGGTATTGAGCCTTTTTTTATTAAGAGTGAAATTATATGAAATTTATAAAGCAATCTTTAATAATAATTTCAGCGCAACTTAAATCCATTCGTGGATGAGCGGGCACGTACTTATTACAGTAAACTTGAGGTAACTTATAATAGAGTGAGAAGAGTATTGATTTGGCGCAATATACTACGCTTTCTTGCAAGAATTCTTGCAGGGAGTAGTGTTTTTTTCTTGATTTCACTTGACTTCGTTTGAACGAAGATCTTAGGAGCTTTAAAAACGTTTGTTGTAATCATGATTTAGTTGTGATAAGAAGTAATAAGGAAAGTGGAACAGAATTCTTCCTCCGTAAGCCTTGCGTGTCGTAAGATGCGACAAAAATGCCGGGAGCAAGGGGCTAGTAACCCCTTCTCCTGTAGATATTACTAAATTTAAACAGAGAAACTTTCGTTTTTCTTTTTGGTTTGTTGAAAGAAGAAATAAAAGAATATTGATGGAGGTACACATTGTTTCGGGCTTGTGAACGTGCTAAACGTGAATGGAGCGTGTACAAATGTAAGTTCACCACCTGACAAGAATACTTTAATACCTAAAATAGGGATTAGAGTACACTCATATAAAATCATGAACAAGCGGTACAAGATGCAAAACAGCCACAGGGAAAGTTGAATGATAGCTCTAGGCATTTCGTGTTGCAATCAACCATCATCAGGAGCTTGCAGTAATGCAGAAATGAGTAGGAGGTCCCAGCAGATTCGTTCGGTGGAACGTTCTTGCCAAGAATGAGGTAGGGAGGCAGGAGATGCTTAGTACCCCAGGCATAACAGTGCCAAGTGCCAGCAAGATTATTACAGGAATAGAAGATAGCCCACAAGCACTGGTAATGGAGTGATTACCTAGCGACAGTTGACAATTATAAAAAATTCGGTCAGACTTCAGGATAATATAAAAGACTACATTCTGAATATAGATGTATCTGGCATATGTCTTAGGAATTTTCCGTGAAAATTAAGAAAATGGGTCTGCGGCAGACTCCCTTACAACTAAAGGGAAACAACTGCAGTTTATCCAAGGGCAGACAGCCATAGTTTATATATCCTACCCGACTCTTCGGGCAGATGCTGGTCTAACCCAAGATGGCAGTGAGACAGATCCTAATTCCTTGGAGTGCAAGCATGACACAAGACAATCCAGAGCATATATATATGCATCTAGTTTTAGGTTATGCACAAGAGCCTCAATTATAAACTAATCAAGCTTGAATAATCCACAGTTACCATTATATAATGAGTGTTTTTCATGTTTTATATTTGCCAGTTATAAAATATTT